AATTAATATTTACAGATTGTTTCATTAAATATGTTAAATATTTCTTGAGTACAAATGGATCTCACAAATACATTTTTTATTTCTATTGTCATCTAACAAACAAGTTAATAATTTTATCAACAAGAAACGGGTCTCTGTCTAGGAATGATTCAAAAACGAATTGGTAAAATATATCTAAAAATAATTTTTATTTAAAAAATCAATTTTAACCAATATGAAATTATTAAAAATTAATTATCTTATTTCAGTTTTTACAAATCAATACTTTAGATTACCGAATAGAACTCATAATTTTATCGGGTCCCTATAATTTGTTATTTAACTAGAACGAATAGAAAAATAAATCCTACACCACACATTAAATTGTACGTAATTTTATTTAATCTATATATGTTGGACCAAACCAAATTATTAACGACAATCAATCTGAACCCGGATACTCAAGTCTATACATACTTGTGAATAATCGAATAAGGGCATAAATTTAAAGCAAAAACGGTTGACCCGCCCTCTTTAAGGACGGATCAAAATCTAGTCTAATATATTAAAACTGAAGTATAAAAATGAAATAACCCTGAACTTTCCTCAAAAATTACAATCTTATGCCACTGCTTTAAACACGGTCGTTTTATACCACTAAAACCCATCTAATTAAATTTGACTCACCTTGACCTTAAATAACGGGAAACAAAACCGACGGAACCAATCTCGTGTGTTTCTCTGTTGTAAACGTAGAGTAAGACAAACCCTAGAAGATGCTCGATTAAGCTGAGGCACGATCTCTATGAGGTGTTTCTGTTTTTAATGGTGGATCAGTTGAGATTGATGTTTTTAGGGTTATTTGGCCGGAGCTTTCCGAGGTAGACGCGGCGGGAGAACAATACAGGGAGAATTATCTGAGAAAGTAGATCAACCGAGTTATCAATGCCGATGACACCAAAGTGATCAACGGAATCTCGCCATTCGATTCAAAATCTCAATCGTCGGGAAAATTTGGCTCGAGTTAGATTCTCCAACATTTCTGTCTTTTCAATTTGGTAATATCTCAAACAAGTTTTTGGTTTTGCTTTGTATTGTCTAAGTTCCAATGCGTGATTGCTCCTGTTAAAGTCTCCACCTTTAGGAATTTGACGTATAAGAACGAAGTGAAAATGTTGAGCTTTATTGATGGGTTTCTTCAGGTGTGGTTGGTGCTATATACATCAAAGGCGTTGATCAAAAAAAAAAAAAAATACATCAAAGGCGTTGCAGGTTACAAAGTACAAAAGGTGAAGTTTTATGGAACTTTCTGTTAAGTCATTACATCTGTAACATTGTTTATATAGGTTTATATAAGTTCAAAGTTTTTGTCGAGGTTTGAGGAACTTGAACACTTGAGATATGATCATTACTTGCTTTAATCTTTATCATGCTTTTTGTTACCAGAAAAATTTGAAGTAAACAAACAGTCAAAACAACTACAATATAATTACATGGCATGTTTTGCAAAATAAGACAGCAGTAATAGACATTATGCACACTGAAAAATTATCTCATATTTTAAGTACTTTTTTTACCAAAATTTTTTTTATAGTATAATCTTGGACCATGACCGCGTAATTCAAGCCCTGAATTATGTGAACCAATGTTTGATCATCATATTCTCTACCGAACGCAATTAAAAACTGTTTCATAAAATAATTCAATAAAATTATGCCTCTGTTAAATTATTTATTGAATAACTAGTATTACTAGGGATCGTTAACCCCCGCTGCGCGGGGGTTTGTGTTTGATGTTTTGTTGTTCATTATGCTTGCCACATGAAAGAATGTGTAGTTTACATGTTTTATTTATGTTTGATGGATTGTGTTTTACGGAGTTTTAGCCCGTTTTTCTCACATCCGAATTTTAAACTGAACTTGATTTAGTATCTTCAGCGAGTCATGGTCGGACCGGTTCAACCGGCCGATCCGATTCAAATTTCAAAACTATGGTTAGTAGCCATGTTTGAAAACGTGGTTGTAGAGGGCGATTACACCGCTGAGAAACACTCGACGGAGCTTAACCGCGGTGACTTGATCTAAATCAGCAAACATATGAGATTTTGAAAATTTATTAATTTGTAGAGATATAAATTTATAAAAGTTTCTTTATTTTGATTTCTTATTTTATAATATATTTCTTCTAAGATAAAATATTTGATTTTAGTATATAGTCATTAATTATTATTTTTGAAACTTAAAATTCCTATTAATTTTATTAGATTATTTGGTGTATATAATATGTATTGCACATAATTTAAATGTGGTTTTAGATACAATCTTACTAAATCTCATCAAAATTATATTATGTGTCAAGAAAATATAAACCTAATTCCATTATGTATACTAAATAAACATATAATCATAGATTCTTATTTATATAAAATATTCATAAATATAAATTATTAAGTTTTACTTTTAATGGGAGTATATATTTACATAAAATTTTCAAAAAAATATTATCTTACTATTTTATCGATTTGTATCAAATATTGAATCGACAAAAGTTATAACCAACAAAATTTATTAATTTATGTAGACTATTAATTTATCACATATTAATTTATAGAGGTTATATTGTATGCATCAAAATATTTCTTTGTCACGGTCTGTTTTGGCAATCTATACATTTAAAAATAGCTATCAAATTATTTGTATTTAATGTGTTGTTAAAAATAGTAAGAGAAAATGAAGAAATATAAAAACACTTCTCTAATATATTTTCACATTACCTCACTTGGTATACCGTTTAGTATTTAGTTTGCCACAAATTAACAAAGTAAAAATTTGTTGTAGCTGCAGATATCAATTGTATGAAAATGAGTATAAAACAATGAACGTCAAATGGGAACTATAGCCTAAAGAATAAATAGCTGCATTAGTTTTTGTTTTTGAAAAATTGTATAGTTGAGATAATTACACAAAAAAAAATGCAATAATCTCCAAACAGAACTATCAAAAGGAAGAACATATATAATTCAAATGAATCAGCATGGGAAACAGTTTTTGTGCTTAGGATCTTACACTTAGCATACGACAAGAAATGAAGCAACCTCGCTAGATCATCATGGCTTAGGTTCAGTTGAGTTAGGATATCGTTGTAACTCAGTTTATATGCTGTGTTGAAAAGCAGAAGCACAGAACAACAGCCTGAAAGTAAATAAAACTTTACAAAATCGGCATCAGAGGCAAATTACAGGTTCCAATATACCAACACTTTCTGAGAAACAAATGTTACCTGGTAAGTAGACACAGCTAACTCAATGGGCTTGTGATCCAACTTTCCGTTGAGGTGGCAAGTTCCCAGTGAATAGATCCATGTAAGTTTCCTATGTTTCGTTTTCTTTTCATAAAACATTTTGAAAACTTCAACACACTTGACCTGAAGGAAAGAAATCGATGGATTAGCTTCACCTGGAGTAAACCTTTTTTTCTTTTAGGCAGCATATATACAAACGATAAATAGATACTTACCATTTCACTGAGTAGATTTATGTCGAATAATTTGTAACTTGGCCAAAAACCAGTTAAGGCCAAATCAATCCCTGGGTTTGCAGCGGGGTTATTGCTTAGATACTCCTCGAAACTGGTTTGGTTTTCTCTTGCCAATGTAAAATCAGTTACCTGTAATCAGTAGATCAAATTTATATAGAGCATAAATTATCAGCGCAATCACCGTTCTGAGAGAATAAACATAGGGACACTGAAACTAACCATGCCCTCCATCTTAGAAATAAAATGCACACTCAAGATCATCAGTCTCTTGCTCTTTCTCACCTCCTTCCAAAGCATCATCAATAGCATCTCCCATGACCTCAGAGACCATCTCCATTTTCTCCTTCTGCCTCTCAAACTCTTGCATGATTTTTCGAAGAGAAGGAAGAGTCACCTGCCTGTTCATTTGACCCATCACTTTAGTTACACCTTTCATAGCCTCACCCATTGCTTGTGTTGATTTCAGAGTCTGAAATAAACCCAAAATCATAAATGGAACAACTTGCACTACTGATGTTTGTGGTGTTATTGGAAACGGAAATAACCAAAGCCAAGAAGTCGAGCATACCTGGATTTTGAGAGAACCACCTTGTAGTTGGGATTTAAGCTTATAAAACTTCTCAATCTGGTGCTGTGTTGGATAAGGTCCTTTGCCATCACTTTCACTCCCTTAGTAAACCAAATCAATTATAGTCCAAATTGTGAAATAGCACAATCTATTGAACAAAAACTCACTAAAAATAAGGCGTAAGCCAACCAAACACTTCATTATAGCACACATTGAAATACTCCTAGCAGATAAATTTTTAAGCTCCTATTTTAGTATAGCTCCTATTTTAGTATCACCATATACATTTAACTAAGGATACAAAAGAGCTAAACTTTTTTGTAAAATATATAATAGAGAAACAAACAAACAAACAAACCATCTGTCCCTGCTTTGCGGTCTTTTTGATCTCAGTGATAAGTTTCTTCTCTTGTGTTTGAAGGCCTTGCTTCTCCCTCTCAATCTCTTTGGTTGAGTTATCAAGCATCCTCTTGATTTCCTGCAGAAGTTCTCAAACACCAAAACCAAATTATAAAAAAACAAATCATCAGCAAAAATATATTGATCCCAATAAAAGTAGAGATCAAACAATCTGAATCGAAAGCTCCACAAAAACAAATCCAATTTTTCACACAAGAGACAGAGGATTGGAAGAACCTGCAGGAGTTTTAGGCTTTCCGAAAATGGAATTCATCATGATCGAATCCCATAAGAGGATTGTCGGAATTCTAATCAGCCACGATCGGAGTTGAAAAAAATATCTCAGTATGATACTTGTTTTTGGTCAGGAAACTCGAGACGATGAACTCCTGCAGGTTCTATCAAGAAGATAGATCACGTGGAGACGAGCTTGAAGGAATCGAGCCGAGATCTGTCACTCTTCAAGTTCAAATCCGGCATCGTCGTGGCGCTTGCTCGCTTCGTCGTCTTCGGGTTGTTGAACTCCCTCTTCGACGGTAAAGTCATCGCGAAGCATCCGTTCGATCTAACTACGATCATGAAGAAGATGAGTCGCAGGGGATTGAAAGGTGATGATCTGACGGATTGCTCCATGGCGTTTCTGTATCTTTTGTGTTCGATTAGTCTCAAGACGAATAAGTTTCTAGGGTTTTCTCTGCAGGGTGGAGCTGCTGGCGCTGGCCCGTTAGATGCAAACTTTGACTTGAAAGTAATTAGTTTTGAAGCCCATTAGAGAAAAAGAGAGTTAGTGACGTGGACTCTTACGAGTCTTAAAAATGTACTATAAGAAAAAAAGATGTTAGGGGGAAACGAACCCTATACCCGTGGAAGGAAGGTTTAATTATGAGGAATATACCACTCAGCCAAATGATCATCAAGTGTTAGTAGACAGCATTTGTAAGTTTTGTAGTTAAAAAACTGTGCGTGGACCATTAAAAAAATGTTGACGTGGCGCGTTGGGAGTGAATAAACTCCCTCATTATAATATAGATTATCCGTGCTTAGCATAGGTAATACCTGCTTGCATTTAAATTATTTTCTTTATTTTTATTTTGGTAAAATATAGTGTTATTTCTTTTGTTGTTATTTTATCAAAATTAAATTTATAGTAGCTTACAAAAAATTATAAGATAGTTGAATATGATTTGTTTCAAAAACATATTTGTGAAAATAATCAAACCATAACAAACAAATTTTTAAATACCTAATTTGTATCACCTTAGTTGTTGATATTCTGTTTAGTTTTTACTCGTATAGTAGCATCATATTAATATTCTTTCAAAGCTACAGAACTAAAATAAACATATTTTTTAATTAAAAACTAAAGATATGTTTAAAGAGAAGAATTAAACTTTCTCCGTCAATGGAGTGCAGACATTTGTTTTTGTTGAGTGGGAATGAATATGTTTGATCAAAAAAATAAAGAGAGGAACTAAACATACCTCTTGTTTTCAGATTATTGACGGTTCTGTTCTTGTTTTTTGCAAAGAAAACTCTTTTATTTGTTTTTATCTTTATTCTATGTTTCTGGATTTCTTCGGATGAAAAGAAAATTAGTTTTATAACTATAAGTCAGTGAAAGGGCATATATTTACCTTTCTTGCTGACAAAATTCTGTCTTTTCTTCTTCTACTGACAATTAAGCTTTTGAACTCATTTTTAACCTGAGATGAACAATTAAGAGATTATTAATTGAGAATAAGAGGAAACTGAATCTTAATCAAGAGTATCACAAATTTGTATGGTATGTTTTTTGATCACTGAAGAACTCAAAAAAAAATGGAGGAGATGAAAGAGAAAACACGAAGAGAGAGAGAGAGACCAAATAGAGAGTAAAATAAATAGATTAAAGTTATGCAGAAGATAAACTGTTTAAACTTTCAGTTGTTGAGATCGTGATGATAATGTGAGAAATTTTAGGAAGATTATTTGAGTTTTGGAAATCTGGAACGTAACCAGTTTTTACTAATTTTTTTTTTTTAATTTATGCCATTTGTAAAATTTGATTAGTCATGGAATTTTTTTTAATTTTTTTCCAAATGTCAAATTCTAATTGGTCAAGCGACTTGCGCTTTAGTATATAAATGATTAAAGTTATGCAGAAGATAAACTGTTTAAACTTTCAGTTATTGAGATCGTGATGATAATGTGAGAAATTTTAGGAAGATTATTTGAGTTTTAGAAATCTGGAACGTAACCAGTTTTTACCAATTTTTTTTTTTTAAAAATTTATGCCATTTGTAAAATTTGATTAGTCATGGAATTTATTTTAAAATTTTTTTCTAAATGTCAAATTCTAATTGGTCAAGCGACTTGTGCTTTAGTATATAAAGGATACTAAAACGAAACAATAAAAATAGTTATAATTAGCTATCAAATTTATTTATAATAACAAAAGATAATTAAAAGTATATTCATAATATTTGATGAAACAAAAAGATTATCAACACAAAATAGTGAAAATAAAAATTATAATAAATTCAAGTTTTAGCCATTTAAAATACCAGTGATATCCTCGACCTTCTTTACAAATCTCTCAACACCTCTTTGAAATCGAATACTAGCCATCTTCGTCAGTTGATAAAAAAAACCATCTTCATCAGAAAACTTTGAAAGAGATGCGACTCCCGATGTGAGATTCTATCGTTAATAGGCATTCTAAGAGCATCTCCAAAAAGACTCTCTATTATAGAGTTTGCAAAACTCTATATTTGAAGTTTGAGGGTGTTATACTCCAAAAGCAAAACTTGAAACCTAACTTTAAAACTATTTATATTTTATATAATGGTTCTTATATTTGTCATAACTAATTCAGATTCATAAACTTTTATAAATAACTATCATGTATAAAAATATTATAGAAATATCATTTGATAAAATATTACACTAAAATATAAAACTATAAATAGAAATATATAATTAAATATTAAAGTACAAACAAAATACCACATTATATCACGTAATATTGTTGTTGTCTACTTCTAGTTTTAAAATATTTTAAAGATTATCTTGATGTTTTTTTTTAAATAGAAAATTTAAATTTATAAAAATAATTTTGAACTATTTATGAAATAATAATTTTAAGGATTAAAATGATAAATAATAAATATTTAAGATTATTATAAATATGATGTGTAATTGTAAGGACCAAAATGTAAATAAAATATGAAACTTCAAATTTGAAGTTTTGAATAGTGACACTCTATATTTGAAGTTTCACTACTCAAAACTTCAAATTTGAAGTTTTAGAGTTCCTTTTTGGAGAGACAAAAACTTCATATTTAAAGTTATAGAGTGTCTTTTGGAGATGCTCTAAACCATCTAAACTACTTTAGCCTCGAGTATAACTATCTCATAAAAGAAACACAACTAAAATAAAAGAATACAAAGTCGTGGCCCATTGATTTACTTTGTAAATTAACAATTTAATCTGGAAGTTTATGTTAATGTGTTTATTCTACTAAATACACTGGCCCATTTATTTACTTATAAATTATTTTACTACTATGATCTATTAATATGTTAATTTAGCTTCGGTAAATTAGACTAATATATATATATATATATATATATATGTACCAAAATGGATTTACAGTAGTGAAATTATATGAAAAATAAAATAAACGCTTCACGATTATAACAAATAATATAATATATGCTATGTATGGGTTCATATATATATATATATATATATATATATATATATTCTTTTTTTAGTTTATATTCTAAATGTTTATAATATATAAATACACATATAAAAAACAGTTAAAGGAATTTAATATGGGAACACTTAAAACTAAGACATATAAAAAATAAGAATTTTATGTGTAAGAATGTCATATAAAACATATTTATAATATAGTAAATGTTATATGTTTTTAGCATTAAAATATATATGCTATTCGTATTTATAAAAAAATTACATCCGCGTGGGCGCGCGGGTCAAAAAATAGTTTAAACTTAAGAGAATAAACAATTCAAACCAGCAGGATCACTGTTTTTTTTTGTCCGTTTATTAATTGAATGGTATAATGGTAATTACTCGATCACCTTCCTTGCAACTGTTTTAGGTTTTCTGCAATTTTTTTCTTGCCGTCAATTTCAGATTTGTCAAATATTCACTAACTAGGATAAGATCTGCGCCTTGCGCAGGGTGAATATATATAATTAAAATATAAAATTTTAGTATTGACAAACTTAAAATTTACATATGATTGTTTTTATATGTATTTGAAATTTTAGAATTTTGAATTTTTTATATAATTATCTATATGTAGGATCAGAAACAATTGTAATTGACCCGACTTATCAAAGCTTAGAATTTAATGGACCCGACTTCATATATCTTTTCACTTTTCAGTGTTCGAGTGATAGAAAATAAACGGAATGTCACTGCGCTTGATTGGTAGAGTATTAGCAAGTTCTCTAATGCTTTCTTAAGAAGCAGTTGGTAAAATAATTGCATTTAAAATATATAAGTTTCAAAACTAATTTAATATAATTTATTTATTTGTCTAATAATATTAAAAAAAAATATTTTTTAACAATTTTAAAAAATATAATTTTCTAAAAAATTAAGTTAAATTTAAAAAACAATATTTTAAGTTTTTAAAATACAAATAAACAATTTAAAATTAATTATGGTCATGATTTAACATAACCATAATGATTTAAAAAATTAAAAAATTAACAAATTAAACATTAACTCAATTTCATATCATGATTTAACAATTTAAAAACTAATTATGGTTATGAGAAGTTTACGTTCACGTGTCAATCCTATTTATCTTCAATTTTTTCTCTTGTTGTGTTTTTTTTATTTTGCTATTACTCGATATAAATATTTATTCTGAAATTTATTCTCATTTCGTTTGTTTGTTTTTACCTGGGATTTAGAAAATACTTAAGATTTAAAATAATTAAAGATATACATATTTAAGTTAAGATATGCACTTTATACACAATAAATATTTTATATTTTCTGCATATTATAAAATAATAAAATAATAAAATAATAAATATATATTAAATAACTAAGAAATCAGTTACTATTATGTAATAAATTGGCGAATGTATATAAATTTAACTATCACTCTTGTTTATTCTCAATTAGGGTAAATAAATCAAAATAATCAATCTTATATATTGTATATGATATATAATTAAATTTAAATGATATAAACATATTAATATAGCACACTTTTAATATTGATATTTATTAAATGAGGTTTCTAC